GGGCACCTAGAAGTGGTCTTGGCAAAGGACCTTTATGCAAGCATGGGCCTTGGAAAAGGGCTCATGTAAAGCACAGGTTCATGGATGTGGGAAAAGAAGCTGCTGCCCTTTGATTGTTGATGAAAGTGTTCATGTGCTGCTTTGAGCAAAGCCTTTTGTTGTCCAAAGCAGTTGTGGTTCAAGCTCCCCCTTGCAAAGGTTGGACTGCAGGGGACCTGGACAAGGGCCCCATGGGTGACCTGAGAAAGGGCGCCCCACCCTGGGAACAGGTTGTTGTGTTTGAATCAAAGCAACCTTTTGTGAGGGTAACTTTGCAATTGGATGAAGCTGAAAATATTAGAGTATCCTTTTTTGATTATGTCAAGAACCAAGAGGTTATGATGTATGATAGCATCTTAAAGCCACACTGGGCAACATTGGAAAGGTGCTTTGCAGATTCTGCAGAATTCCAAAGGCTGGTCAACTCAGACCCAGCTCTCAGGCTAAAATTTTTGGGGTGGCTGGTGGTGGAGGGCATGGACATTGTTCATGCCCTGGCTGGAAGGGAAATCGACAACACCACAAGAAAGATATTGCAACCATCTAAATTGTCATGGGCCTTGCAAAAGGGCCCATTCAAGGCACTTGCCTTCTGGCATCAGCCATGGGTCTTGGAAAAGGGCTCAGTGTTGCAAAGGCACAGGCTGTGTATGGAAAAAGTGCATGGCTTTAGTTAGTTGTGAACCTGTCTTTCTTTCATACAGCAGTTAGCTTTTTTCCCCATACAGCAGGGCCACAGTATCTGCATCTTTGCATATTGGTGGCTCAGCTTTGTGGTTCCTTCAAGAGTGTGTTGCCAGCCTTGCAAAAGGGCTTGGCCTAGCCTTCAGTTGCCAGCCTTGCAAAAGGGCTTGGCCCAGTGGTTCAGCCAGTGCCTTGCAAAAGGGCACTGGCACTCAAGCAATGCCAAAAAGAAAGCCACTAGGCAGAGGTGGAAGACACCAAAAAAATCAAAGGCTAGAGGAAAAACAAGAAGAGAAGACTTGGCCAAGTTTTGGAGGGTTGTCTCCAATCTCTTACAAGCTTCTAGAAAAATGGAGCTGGGGGAATTCATCAGCTCTGGAGCTCAATGAAATAGCAAGAGCTTGTCTCAACACTTGGGATGAAGTGCCAAGTGACCTGCAAGGCCTGGCTGCACTGGGCACTTATGGCAACAACCCTGCAAACATTCAGAGGGACTTGTTCAGGCATCCAGCCTTGAAAAAGCTCATGGCACCCAGGCCATACACAGTTCAGGCACACTGCTTAACACACCATGGGGTGGAATTTTGTGATTTATCCATTTTTCTTCCTCATGACTGGGTAGCCTGCTTGTCTGAGAATGGACTGCTCGAGCATTGTGTTGGTGCAATGGATGATTGCAAAACATTTTGGAAAGGTGTGAGCAAGGAGGACCCCAAGCTCTACAAAAACCCAATATTGATGCAAGAGAAGGAGATCTACATGCCATTGGTTCTTCATGCAGACAAAGGTCCCCATTCCAAAGTGGACTCCCTTCACACAATTACAATGTATAGCCTGCCAGCACAGGACAGGAGGCTTGGCTTGGAGGAGAGCAGCTTTCTTTTAGTGAGCATCCCTAACTCAACACTTTTGACCAAGAACAAGATCATAGAGTTAGGCCTCAAGGATGTGGAACCTACAATGGATGTGGTTGGGAGGGCCATTGCATGGAGCTTCAACAGCCTCTTCAGGGGGAAACATCCCAGAGCAGACCAGGATGGAAAAGCATTTGTTTCAAGTGAGAGGCAAAGCTTAGCTTCAAAGTCGATTTGCACAAATGGCATGAGGTTTATCCTATGGGCCACACCAGCAGACTGCGAGCATAACTCCTTGGAGTATGGGCTACCACACCATGGGGCAAAGCATCCATGTATGCGGTGCCATTGTGACACAAGCCTTGCCCCATGGAACGATTTCTCTCCCAAAGCCAAATGGAGAGGCCTCCTTTACACTCCAGCTGCACTGGCTAAAAAGCCACTCACCAACCACTGGCTCCTCAGCATCCAGGGAGTCAACAGCTTTACCTTTGCATATGACTTTATGCATTGTGCTGATATTGGGTTCTCTGCTTCTGCAGTGGCAAATGTCCTGTATGACATATGCTACAAGCACCTGGGCAAACTGAAAAAGGCAGACAAGATCAAGAAGCTCAATGACTTGGTTACTGAAGCTTACACTGCCCTCAACACACCCCATGATGTGAGGGTGAAGCGACTGACCTTCTCATCCTTCAGTGACTCAGATGCACCCCACCAGCACTACCCAAGCTTGATGCACAGTGCCATCAAAGCAAAGCAGGTGGCTAGGCTGGTCCCAGTGGCTGCAAAGTTCTGCAAAGATTTTAATTCTGATACAATCTATTGCAAACATAGACTGCACTGCTTGCAAAGCCTGGAGAAGCTGTACAGCATCACACACAATGCATCCATGTTCCTGACCAAAGAGGAAGCCAAAGACTACCAATCAGCTACCAGCAGGTTCCTCAGGCACTACGAATGCTTGAGCAAACTGTCTGCTGGCTCAACAGAAAGGATTGGGCAGCCCCTTGGAGGATTAAATGTTGGTAGCTTTCTTTTGATGCGCTGTCAACCTTTGCATCTTTTGATGATTTGACTGGCATCTTGATGTGCTGCACACATCTCAGGTATCAGTGGAGCCAAATCCCAAAGCTCCACTACCAGGAGCACATCTCAGAAGATAGTGCCTTCTTGAACCCAGCCAGGGTATGGTGCTACCCTGGTGAGCATTTAGTGGGGAATGCAACCAGGTTAGCAAATGCATGCTTGGCAGGCCTGCCACCATGGCATGTGAGCACTACTGTGTGCTTGAAGTACCAGGTTGGAAAACACATCCAATTCATGATGATGCTGTGAGGACTTGCAGAAGGTCTTCACAAGATCCTGTGAGGACCTGCAGAAGGTCTTCACACAAGGACTGCCTTGAGAAAGAGAATAGATAAAAAGAGCATCTTGCAGCACAGAAAATATTGAAAATTACTTTTCAATATTATTGATTTTGATATTGATATTTTTTTATTGATTTAGACTCGGACTTCAATATGGCTATATTGATTTTTTCTTCTATATTGATATTGATTTTTTATTGAATTTTTCAATCAAGGATTCTCAGGGTCTGCAAAAAAAACAACAGTTTCTTGGGCGCCAACACCTCTACAACTTCGGGCTCCATGCTTGCATGCAACTCTTGTTCTCTGCCCCCTTTACTTCATACACTTGAGTCTCCGGGACCTCTCTTGGTGCATGGCCTCGGTCCCCTTAGCTCCCATTTGGTACATGCTATCCAAGATGTGGTCTGGCATTAGGAGAGGTGAATCGAATGGGTGTTCAAACAACTTACGAGTCATGGGAATGCCAAAACACACTGTCCTCTTGCCAAAAAAACACTTTCCTCTGCGCTCGAATGGGTGTTCAAACGACTTACGAGTCATGGGAATGCCAACGACTTACGAGTCATGGGAATGCCAAAACACACTGTCCTCTTGCCCAAAAACACACTTTCCTCTGCGCTCGAATTGGTGTTCAAACGACTTACGAGTCATGGGAATGCCAACATCCTCTTGCCAAAAAACACACTATCCTCTGCGCTCCGTCCCCGACTCGAATTGGTGTTCAAACGACTTACGAGTCATGGGAATGCCAACATCCTCTTGCCAAAAAAACACACTATCCTCTGCGCTCCGTCCCCTTGCCAAAAAAACACACTATCCTCTGCGCTCCGTCCCCGACTCGTCCCCAAAAACACACTATCCTCTGCGCTCCGTCCCCGACTCGCCCCCCTTGATTGGACGGCAAATAAATGCCCGGAGGAGAAGCATGATGCCCGACACGTGCTACGATCTACCGTACTAGCCGGTGATGAGTGCCAGAGCCTCCATCGCTGAGGCTTGGGGTTCCACCACCTGTCCATCCTCAGGTGACATCGCCAAGGCCTTGTGGCCTCAATTGGCGACTTGCATCAACTCGCCCCCCGAGGATGCCTTCTTCAGGGCAGCGGGCTTGGATTGAGGCTCAATGTCGGCCAGGTACCCTCGTTGCTGGGCAAGCTTGTTGAGGGTACTCGCCACCCCTTGGCACAACAGCACCGGACATTGTGACTTCAGGCTATTTCGCTGACGGTATCAGACTGCCACCTACCAGCCAACGACTTACTCACTTTCTAGACTTTGTGATCGTATGATCTATCTCACGTAACTTCCAGCTGACATAGTTTACGGCAATCGTGCAACAATGACGTCTCTCATCCCTGCTGCCCCTATGCATACACACTTGAAAGACTGTGAAGTATATTCAATGAAGACTGAACGTCGCTTTGACACATTGACACCGCCCCGAACCGACCACATGTAGCTACTGCTGGGATTCTCAAAGAGCACAAGTACACTATGTTTGTGGGCGTACATGAGTACTCGTGCTGCACATGATACATGTATTGGCCTGCTCAATTCTCACCCAGTGCCTCCCTTGAAGGTGAGGTAGTCCACTGAGGTATTATTTCTGGGTTGGCATTCCCCTGGTCTTGAAAAATCTTAAGGGTTGTGTGCCTAAACCCTGAACGAAGGGTGGCCAATGATGGCCCAGGTGAAAGGGTGGCCAAGAATGGCCAGTGGGTGCCACCAGCACCAGCAGCCCAAAGAGCTGCCGCCAGTGGCCACGTTGGCCCACAGGACCTGCCAGCGGTTGGCGTTACGGTTTTTTCAGCACATGACATCGAGCCGAGAGTGGGAACACACAAAAGTGAAGGCACCATAGACTGTGGTGACCAATTGAAATAACGAACGGATCTCAAAAAATTTCACTTTACTTATCCTTGCTATACCTGCGTTGCCTTCTTTGGCTGTCTAAAAGGCTAGGTATGTGCATATGGCTCTGGGACTGTTCCAGCGCGTGCATGCAAAGCTTTTGCAGACCGCGCCGGCTGGCCGAGTTCAGGCTCCAAGCTCACGGTGACACGTCCTTTTGCAAGGCAAGGAGCTCTTCTGGCGAAAGATCATCCTCGCCATCCACACGCTTCACCTCCTCACTGAAGTGCTCGGCCAAAAGATCTCTCAGATTTTGCTGGTAAAGTGGGTGTGTCGACTGGGACAAACATTTGATGGCGTACATGTCGATGACATTGTTCAAGAACGCCATGTGGGCCTTGTTCTTCGTGATGCCCAAATATGGCAAATTCTGCTTCATTGCCACCTTTGCCAAGCACCCGCTGCCACTGGAGAGGTCGATGATGCACTTTGCATTCGTCATGCTCAGCACCGCTTCCCAGAGGCTCTGGCTCCTGAGTCTGCGTTGATGCAGTCCAATGCATTTGCTTGCAGTCTTTTGATTAGGACCCGGCATTAAAATTAAAAACATCATCAACACAAACGTGCGGCGTGAATCCGAAAAGCAACACGAACAATATGACGTACCGAGAATCTTGCTCTCTTGCCACAGAAGTGGCACACCAGCCCGGCTCCATGCTGCCGGCTTTGAACCACTCTTGTTTTTGCCCATGACCTGCTCTTTCTCAGTCTCAAGCATCCTTGGCAAACTTGGTAGCGAGGGAAGCTCAACGCCCAAGAAGCCGGTGTCATAGGTACTGATACCATCATCGCCAGCACCTTTCTCCACATATTTGTCCTGATGGCAAGGCATGTACGATGGCACAGGTCTCAAGTCTTAAAACAACCCGTTGTTCAGTTGAACATGTTGAGCCCTGTTCCTGGCGGGCTTGTGTAGTCAATCGCACCCGGGCCACATTAGACTTCAGGTAGCCGATTTCTTTCGACATGTGGCCACCAAAAACTCGTCGCCCTGGCCGCGCAGCAGCACGGTAACCGATCCACAACTCAGTCGTGGTAGAGGTGTTCTGTGTCACTTTCAACTCCTCATCCAAGAACCGGCGGTTGCTCAAAGACCGACCATCCCAAACAAGCACGAAATCAAATGGCTTGTTTGCATTCGCCAGCATCCACTTCAAGAGGTTCTTGGCCTCGGTCTTGTCCGACAAGCTGCCAACGGAGCTCCATGGAGACAACTGGCTCTCTTCAAGCAAGTCCGTCGAAAGAACCCAAAGCCGATGTGCTTGATTCAGCTCTCCGCTGAAAGACTTGACGTCTTCAGCCAAACTCTTGTTCCACAACCCATCGAGGTCGGCCTCAGTTCGCGCCGGGGCCAAGTTGACGACCTTCTTGCGCAATGCCTGCGCCTGTCGCCAAATCTCATCCCTCTCCTTTTGCCGTTGCTCACCTAGTGTAGGCAACAAGATGGAAAACAACAAAAATAATGAGGAACAATCATGAATCCGGCAGAACCATGAACGATGGAAATGTGCATTAAGAAGCGATCAAGGCACGATGTGTGGCCATGTCTGCGTCAGGGTCGCTGGACATCCTGGCAAGAGTCCGCACACTCATGGTCGGGGCCCCTTCCTCAGAGATCTTGACAATTTCAGAACCCTTCCCCAGCTCAGCCATGGCTGCCGTCCACTCTTGGTGAAGAGCAAGGTTGGAATGAGGGCCCTCTGCATCATACAGCAAATCCGTGACACCCGGCTTCCTGCCAACGCGCGGCCACTGCCACTGCTTTTGGTCACCCGAAAAGAGGGTTCCCAACATCAAAAAATGGGCGCTGAACAAACCAAAATCGAGAATGTAGCACAGCCAAGCTTCTTCGCCATTTTGATGAAGTCTTCATCATACTCACTGTAGTACAGGGCAACTGCCAAGCCATACCACCGCTTAGTCGCTCCCACAAAGCTGGGCCCATGTTCCGAATCCTCCTCTTCGACCGGATACAGAGCATGGAAGCTCAAAGGGCTGCGGATCGCTTGCAAGGCTTCCAAGAGCGGCTTCGAATCAACCTGCAGGTTCTGGACCACGTGAATCATGTGCTCCAGCAGCAAGTACTTCGATAAAGTGACATGGTACCAGCCTCCTGAATCTTTGCCAGAGTCCACATTCTTGGTCGTGAAAAAGGTTGGCTGCGCTTGCTTCCGCTTCAAGGCAACATAAGCAGCCTGAAGCACCCAAAGGATTGCATCTTCCACAACCTTGCCATGCGGCAACAAAACCAACCACAGCAGCAAATTGGGGATTGAAAATTGAAATTAGACTGACTCTTCAGTTGAAGCATCGAAACCAAAAATTCGCTGCGCTGAACCAGCCAAGCTGCATCTGCGGGCAAGGATGCTGCAATCTGAGACAATCGCACCAGCTTCACATAGCCGGAGTTAAAGACACCAGTGCCGAACTCTGAGTCGATCTTTTTCAGCACCGCTAAACTCTCTGACGAAAAGCGTCTCATGGCCACAACAGCATTCACCAAAGCTCTGCTTGCCACGCTACCCCGGAAGCAGATCTCATTGTCACGAAGCCACTTCTCTTGGTCAGCTGGTTTTTTGCTCGGCGCTGACTTCAAAAACTCGTTGACTTTGGCCGCCCAGTGAGACCAAGTGTCTGTCAGCTCTGCAGCAAAGGAGTAGTCCTCTGAGGCCAACAAACTCCGCTTCAACAAGTGGGTCGAATCTGCGCCAGCAATGCACGTCAAAGTGACACTCAAACCACATTTCCATAGCATCTCAAGGGTCTCATTGTCAGATTGCTGCAAGCACCGGCACATCTTGACCTCATGGAAGCAAACAAACATCATGTGGTTCCGGGTTGGGGGCACCTGGCTGAAATTAACAACAGTAACAGACCATGGATATGCTTCCCCAATGTCTTAGTTATTGCGCTGGCCTATCTTTATATTGGAAACATCGTGATACCAAACCGAAGCCTCTGCTTTGGGGGTAGCTGGCTGAAACACTGTGGTCATTTACTGGCCCATTGGTTAGTGGAAACACCATGATACCAAAATGAGGGCTCCGTTTTGGGGGCAGCTGTGTGAAATCATCAACCAGCATTGTGTATGTCATCCCGCTTTTTTACTACTTACACTGGCACATTCGTCGCGTAAGGAGGACAATGGTGCCTAAATGAAATCTATGTTTGCGGGTAGCTAGATGAAATAATCTGGCAACTCTGACTCTTGAGATTGCGCCGGCACGTTGGGTAAATTGTCACCAACGAACATATACCAACATGAAGGCTCCGCCTTGGGGGCGGCTGGCCAGGAAGAAAACCTTGGGTGAAGGCAGCCAAGGCACCCACCATGCGCAAACCATTGCGTGCCCAGCAATCACAAACAAGGTCTTGGGATAAGCGTGCTCTGATACAGCATCGCCTTCGGGCAAGAAGCAATGGATGGGAAAAGGGAATAACATTCTCCGCACCCCATCAAAGTCTTGCGGGACGAAGCGCTTCTCACATTGCAAGATCTGGTCGAAGGTGGGAGGGTCCACGTTCAACTTGCTGTTGTCCAGAGGATTCAGCCAAGTAACCACGCCTCCGGCCTCATACAGGCCACTACGGAGACAAACGGCGGCATTGCTTGGCCGCCACATCTCCTTGTACCTGGGCTGGGAATGCGTAGCCTGGAAAGTTCCGTATGTATCACGCCCCTTCCACATCAAATCCAACCAATAGGGGAAATGCGAAAAACGACGTCTATTTTTGAAGCACGCTGCGCATCTTTGCCTCCCTCTAGGCCAACATCCAAAGGTTCATGCTCATTCAATGCCACAGAAGACGCTTTGGCAAGCTTCAGTTTGTGCAGCTCAGCGGGCAGCTTGGCGGTTACCTCGTCTTGCCAGGCAGGGCATAGCACAAGAATGGCAAAGAAAGTAGCAAACCTGTTTAAGACTTCTTGCAGCCAAATTGCAAAAGGTATCACTTTGCGCAGAACTGCAAAGCCATCAGTCGTCTTGGCTTCTTCTTCCGAGGGCCACTCAACTGCAGAAACAGCAGGCGCGCTCTGCCTGCTTAGGGGCCTTCTGCTTGCTCTCTTCAGACTTAGCTGGGGCCGGTCTCTTAGGGGCCATGCCAAAAGCAGTTCGGGGTTCTAAGTAAAAAAGAGTTGGAGCCAAAACTTGGGAATGGCACGGGTTTCAATTGAATCAGCCACCATTGGATAGAAATAAATCAACTAGTGTGTGATTGTCTTGCATCAAAACAGCAGAATGTCCGAAGGCATGGGAGCTCATTTCTCTATTTTGCGAAGTTGCCACACACACCTGCAACATGTCACCCGCGGCAACCAGACAATGCTGGATGCTGCACCCCAGTCCGGGCATTTTGCCGAACTTGCTTAGCAATAGTAAACAAATCCTTGCATTGCCCCAACGCAACTTGAGGTTCACCACGGCCAAGCTTCCATTGTGAACCAGGCCTCGGCTCCGCACATCTTCTAAGCTACCCTTACACGTAGAAAACCTACCCTTGGAAGCAGCATGATTCCAAAATTCTACGGTGAAGGGTAGTTTCCACGCGTGGAAGGGTGAACCGGGGGAAAGCTGTAGACGTGAGAATGAAACCAAGGTGCAAGGAAACGAGTTTCTGCAAAAATTGCAGTGTACAGGGATGCTTCTGCCCGAACTCATCGCTGACCAACACAAACTGCTTTGCCAACAGCGCAGGCAAATGCAACTCGGCAGGGCCTTGCTTAGCAAAGGTTTCTGCATCGATGATTGCCTTCCCCAAATAAGCAGATGCCGCGAAGACTGCATGACAGAATCCCGGCCTCAGATTGCCAACTGTGGCTCCCATTAGTATTAAAACAACCCAGGCTTTCCTTCTACATGCTCAATTCCATCCCTTTATACGAAAGACTTTGCCCATTTGTCCAAGCCCCGGACGGTATGTTCGAAGCGCTTGGCATTGCTTGCAAGTGCCGCCAGGAAGAAACCACCACCAGCTCAGCTTTGCGAACTGCTTTCAAGATATCCATGGGCAACGTTGAAGGACCTAGCCGGCAAACGCTCGCCCTGCGATCCTTGGCCGCGTGGCCCCCAAGAGGCGAAGAGCGCAAATCCAGCAAGTTAAGGCTCGGCCTTTTGGTGTATGCCACAGCCTCAGGATCTACGTCTCGGCACAACAAGTGTCCCTTACGTAGGTTTACCTGGTAAGGGCTTTGCAATGGCTTCTCTATTCTCAGCTTTCTTTCATCCAACTTGGCGCTCTTGCGCTTTGCAGCGCATGCGTACACTGCCTCCAACCCCGACTTTGCTGGGTTTTCTGCCAAAGGCCGATGGCGAGGTAGATCTCTACGACGGAGACCAATCACAGTAGCAGAAGTGTCTGCCTGCCTTCTGGAAACCTGTTGGACAATCCTGTCTGCAGCTCTTGCCTGCGAACGAACAATTTCGACTTCTGTTCCTGCTTTCTTTGGTCGTGTCTGTCCTGCATCTTTCCTCTTTTTGTACAGCCGGAAGCGGCTGCCGTAGGAAGACCGCCACAGTTGCGCTAATTCCAAACTGAAATCAGTTGCTCGGAGCTGCGGTGTTTCATCTCCCGGAAAATAGAATCTTTGGCAAAAATCGGTTTCATCCGCAGGGCCATCCAAGGTGATTTCCAATAGCATGCTGGCAGTGACGCCGCTATCTTGCAGCGGACCCAAGTGAGAAGAGCAGATCTTGACTAGTTGAGACAACGCCCTTTCAGCCCCGGTGCTGGAGTCTGTGAAGCCTAAGTAGTACTGCACCAAACCAGACAAGTATCGGAACTCGCCAAATTGGGAGATTTGCGCAGCGAAGCCGGGCTCCAGGCTTTGCCTCCACGCATGTCTGTTGTCTATTTCTTCACCTCTGTCCAATGCTTCCCTGTTCTGTTGATGCAGCTGGTGCGCGGCAGCCCACCACTCTCTTGATGCTGCTTTCCACTCTGCGTGCCGCAGCCCTGATCGCAGGAGCCTCTCCAAGCGGCCTTTGGTGAGCAACTCAAAGTTTCTCCAACCTTGGACATCTTGCTTGGCATGGTGGAATGCAGCAATGTCAAAAATCGCGAAGTCCAAGGCAAAGCCACACAGTTCTGAATCCACCTCCATGATGGCAGATTCCACGACTGCATGCATGCCTAGAACGCATTGTCGGAAATCATCCTTGGAAGTCTTTGGCCACAAGTAATGGACTTTTGGGCCGTACAGGATAGGAGGGCACTGCATGGCCTGTTGACATATCAAACGCGTCACTGTTTGCACATCCTCCCCCACATCGTCCAAGATGTGGTTTTCCAGGAAAAGGCATTTCAGCCTGAACAGGGAGAAAGCAAACATATCCAGTAATTTTTATCGCTCCCTATATACCTTTACGTAGGAAGAGATATATATATATATATATAGTTCAATGAAGCTCGACCTAGCATATCACACTCGCTTTCACTAAACAGGGTTGGCTCTGCAACCCTTGCCTCTCAAAAAACAAACGCTTCTGCCGAAGCGTTTTGGCAGGGTCATGGTCTGCTTTGTCAAACTCTCTGAGAAACCGTAGCATCTCTGAAGAATAGTCGGACGCCAGCCCAGCATTCACCAGAAAAGCTGGAGTCAGTCTTTGCAACATTGTCTGGCAATTCTGTCTGAAAGATGCCGTCAGCCGAGAATCCTGGGATTGGACCGCCAACAGCAGTGCAATGGGAACAAGCAAGGCTGCAAAGCGGCGCAAAGGGGCGTCTTGCGAGTTCCACCGAACAGGTGAGTAGTTCAAGTGCTTCAATGCAGTAGCTAAGGGCTTCTGCCATCCGTCACAAGACTGCGCCTCGGACTTGCTGCGCACGCATGATGAACAGCAACTCGAAAGAACAAATCAAGAACAATGCCCCACAGCGGTGGCAACACACGTCATGACGAGACCGGCGTTAAAAGAAAATATACACGGAAATCCTCAAAACTTGCAAGAAGAAGCAGCACTCCAACATGATTTGGCTCAAGGAACATCATGTTGAATTGCCCACAATTTGCTCTTCCACTCGACGGAATTCATCACATCGGGCACCAATCCCGCTGAGCCAAAGAGAGCTTCCCGAACTTCAGCCCACTGTTCTTGAGCTGCGCAAGGTCTCTCTGCGGCCAGCCTGAACCCCACAAATGCTATGAAACAAGCGCAAAGTACACTGCAGGGTTACCACATCCTTTCAAAAGGAAATTCTACTTCGAGGGACCCGCGCAGTGGCAAATACCCTGGCATTCAACGGCGTGTATTCAGATTTTCTTTCTGCAATCCTGGTTCGGGCCGGGCGGCGCCGACTGAGCTATGGAGCCTGCGGTTTGGGCCCTATCTGGCATCCATTGTAGCACCCGACTCTATTTGGCATATATCTTGGCATTCTTACCTGGCAAATATTCTGGCATCATTCTATCTGGCAGAACTTCTAGCATCCTCTCCGGATATACTCTGGCACTCTGTGTGGCCAATATTTCGCTTTGGCAATCTCTTTCTGGCACAAACCCTGGCATAACCTCTGGCCTACTATTCTATGTGACGTTCTACCTGGCTTAAACTTCTGGCCAGTCTACATCCCGCAAATGTTGGCAAAAAATCTGGCATTCTATCTAGCATATCGTATGGCGTTCAACTTGCCATATTCTGCAGGCAATCTGTCTGGGCAGCTTCAAACATTCTATCTAGCATACCTAACTCTAAATGAAATCTATCTGGTTGGTGCCCGGTGGTGCCCACTGCGATCTGGAACTTGGAGCTGCGGTCCGGTAGTGCCCAAAGCGATCTGGCGATCGTGGAGGGCGCGAAGAAGGAGGTGAGGATGAGGACATCTGGAAACCAAAAAATGCTGGGCTCTATTTTGGGGGCAGTGGCCCCCCGAAGCAATTGAAAACGCGCGCCTGATTGCGTGGGCATGATCTCTGTGCACCAAGGTCAAGTTCGGGAATCTTTGGGCCAAGATCCGGCCAGCTTTTTGAACAGCAGGGCACCCATCAGCAGTGAAATGTTTAGTGATCTCCCGTAAATGGGTGAATACCCAAGCATCTGGGTCACCATGCAGAGGAGTAGCCAAAAGCTGGAGCCCTCTCTCAATAGTGTCAGCCATGCGTACAGCATAATCTTCCTCATGCCCTGCAATGGACTGCTCAGCGATTCTCAACACTTGAATGAGCCCGGAGCCGCCAGGTTCATGGCTCAAGTTGCTGTGGAACAGAATGACACGGTGGTCCTTCTTGTCATCCACAACGAGTGTCATTGTGGTAGCCCGGAGAAGGCATTCGACCTTGCGTTTGCGCACTTGCTCCCGCATGACCTTCACGATCTGGGCCACAGCTCTTCGTTTAACCTCCATGGGGTCCGACCGCTTCTGACTGATGAACGCTTCTGTGAAGGTCGATGACTCGATGCTGTTGAACGACTGAGATGATTTCACATACCTCCAGACCCGAAGGTAATCATCCAGCTGCGGAACTGCACCACTGAAAGCTTGACCTTCAGCACATGAAGCAGGCGCGGTTGCCAAGATGTGCTGCCCAGGGTGGAGAAAGCACTGCAGCGCTGTCTGGTGGACGCTGGAAAGGCTATGTTTCCTCAGGGCACACACACACACACACACGCAAACAAAGTTTGATGACAAGAGTGACAACGTTGGAAAACATTCCGTCCTTACAGTGCTGGCTTGCATGCTGCAAAGGCTACTGATCTCGTAACGGCCCCACTTCGTATTCAATCGTCGCTTCAACTTCTCTGTGTTTGCTATTCTGGCTGCAGAGTGCCCTGCACTTTCAGCGACCAGGCGTGAGAGCATAGAAGCGCAAACATCACAACCAATGCCCCAAGACGATCCCAAGCGGTGAGGCTTCTCATTCAGCCATATGAGCTGCTTCTGCCCTGGGAGTTGCACAGAAGCGATGGTCTGCCGCCAGGACTGCCGATGAAGCAAGTAGCGGCAACGAGCACATTTGCCAGCAAATTGCTTGGGGTCAGGGTGCAGGTGCTTGTGCTCTGCGTGCCCATGGGACTGATCTCGCCTCAGCAAAGTAGTGATCTCCTTCCTTGTTTTGCTCTGGCCAGCTTTTCCTCTCTTTGCATCTTTCAAAGCACGAACAGGATGGGTAGCGGGCGATTTGCCGGCCTCACCCCCATACAAGCCATCTAACTCCCTGCCTCTTTTCATCTGCTTTCTGAGCCAAAATACAGGGTGTGGACTGCCTTCCCAAGAACGGCTGGCTAGGTGCGTTGTGTTGCGCTACAACTATGTCGTTGTGTTGCGTTGTGTGCATTGTGTTGCGCATCAGCCTTCAGCCACATGAACAGCAGAAGCAGCTACACACATAAGCAGCCAAGCACCGCTGCCAATTTCGCACGCCGGCCCACCCCTTCTCCAGCATGCACCACAAAACACAGATGCCTTTGCATCACGCATACATCTCTGACAAAGAGCGCTTGACTGGCTTCACGCGCCCATTGTGCTTTTTCTGATTCGGTGTCTTCGACACCCCCTTAGATTTTAACCCACGCCCACCTTTGACCTGAACCTTCCGCGTCTTGCGGCTACATGCTTTTTTGGGTTTCCTTGCTGTCGGTGGTCGGAGTGACAGCTTCGACCTTGACCACTGGAAAATCAAAGGCTGAGAAGCCTTGGGCCCATCATACCTTCCCGAGGGATTCTGCCGAGACACCAAGGACAAAGCCAACATCATGGCGGTTGCAACCGAACGGAGATGCATCCCGTTACCCGCCATGGTGTGCAAAGAAGAATGCCCAGCCGCGCTGGAAGACAACACATCCGCCGGCAGACCTAAGAGCTTCAACTTCTCCTGTGCAGAAAGGAGCCTCTTCTGACCATGCGCTGAAACCAGAAGAAGCTTGGAGCTGGTTGTCAAACACGGGCATTCGCCCCACCCCAAAGGCAACCGGTCAAAGGACTGAGAAACATCCATCACACATGGGAATCCTTTTCCTTTGTTGGCAAACAAAGCCATTTCAACTGAGCTGGCTTCTCTTGCAGTCAGGAAGCTGCAGGTGGACGCCAGCTGACAAGGTGGCATGCCCAAGCGGCTCCGAATGTCGTTGTGTTGCACCACCCACTTCGATCCGCCAGCGCGCGTGCCAAGTGAGCATGTGGGGGGTGGAGCTGAAGCCGTCACCTCACCCAGCACGTCCTTCAAATCCAAAGCTGGCAATGACCTACCAATTTCGGACATGGCCTCTTCGATGAATTTCCTGATCAAGCTGCAATCTTGAGTCACAGAGACATCTTTACGAAGCAAAATGAAATATATTCGAGGTCTTCTGTGCGGTTCCTTCAAGCATTGCTTCGGACATAAGGGAAGGATGCAAAAGAAATACTGGTCGAGGAGGCCAAATCTGCGGAACGCTGATAGCAAACGTTGTCTGAAGGCCATGATCCCCTCTACGTTCTCCATGACAATCCAACGAGGCTGCATATGAGCAGCGGTCTTCAAACTGCAAAAAAAGACTTTGGCTCGTGGGTCCTTGAAAGCTCTTCGGTTGCAGGACTGCTTGGAGTACGGCTGGCAGGGGAAACCCACCACATACCCATCAATGCTGCGTGGCAGCTCTGACACTGAGCGTGCCAGCATGTCTTCATAAATGATCTTGGCTCTGCCGTTGGATTCAAGCCACTTGCGCACTGAAGGGTTGATGTCACTCGCAAACCTTATCATCTAGCAAGGTAACAAGTTGTGAAAAGGTCATGTCTGGTCTGCGTTTACTTTCTAACTGTTCCAAGCACATTCAGTGCAGACATGAGGCGGCTGCTCAAAAGGAATGTCGCATAGCTGGGCCGCTAGAATCGGCGTATCCAAGCCACTACAGTCTGTCGAGATCCGCTGCAAGATGCCCGAATCCAACAAAGAAACCGGGCACGAATTGTCAGCAGCCCATTTTGCTCTGGCTCGGAGAATGGCCGATCGCAGCAAGTTGCAGCGACCGTCTGTCCGCACAGTGACAGGCATGGATCTAAGAACGTTTTTCCATATGAAAAAACGGCTGCAGAAACAAGTTCAAATTACCTCCCAGACTTTTGACAGACAGCGAGGTAATTCCAAGAATGCAGGTGCCATCAATACCTCTTGCTCATGCTGTGAACAGTGAAGGAAACCACGCTTGCTGGCCTCCCAACAATTACCCACCAGCCTCGTGAAAGATCGTGGTGTAATCAGACCCACGACCAGCAGATCAAAGCCACTTGTCTATGGTAGACCTGCAGCGCGGAGTCTTCACATGCTCATATCTCGTCAAGGCGGGACTCAGCTTTTGTCTGCTGGTACAGGGTAAAGACATGGTGAGGTGATGGTGCTGGGAGCACCCAGGCGGTAAAGCACTGTTCTAAATGACATGGTGACCAATTCAATGCAATAATTTTTCCCCTGCAATCGGACACGCGAAACTGGCCGTTAAGGCAATGTGCGATCAGCCGGTTTTGGCGCACAAGCCTTCAAAACCAAATCTCTCCACTCCGCAGCCTCATGCAAGCGGCATGCTAGGATCTGCTCGGGCTGCGCATTCTTGCTGCGCCAGCCTGCTAAAGAAACTGTTCTGCCCACCGGACCCGATCGGCACATGGCGCACCAGTGCTGCAAGGATTCTCGCAAACTACCCTTGGCACCAATTGGCCGCAGCAACATCTTGCCAACGCATGCCTCATAGAGAGCACTGCCGGCCGAGAAAATGTCTACAGCAGGTCGCAGCAAAGCACGGCTCACATCACCAACATACAGCTCTGGAGGACGGTAGCCCTCTGTCACATACAGTATGTAAGCCGGCGGCTTGGTCTCTCTGGCACTGGTGAACTCCAGCATCCCGCAATCGGCCAACTTCATGGAGGACACAGCAAAATTCCAAAGCAGGTTCGGTGGCTTGACATCGAGATGACAAATGTGCAAGCCGTGGAGAAGTTTCAAGGCAGTTGCGAGCTGGCCTACCAGCAAACGCATCGCCTCGCCCTTGAACAACTCCCCTTTCCGCAAGTAAACATCCAAAGACAAGCCACCATGCTCCAGAGCGACCCAAGGGCAAGGCTCCGCAGAAGCATCCACGTCCAACAAGGCGGTAAAAAACTGATGGTAAGGAATCCCGAGCTCCTTGGAAAGTAAAGTCAGCCACCCGGCTTCCCTCTGCAAAGCTTGTGCCCCATCACGCCGCGTGAACAGCTTGACTGCAACCAGCTTGCTGGTGCTTTTGCAAATGGCACCATAAACTTTTCCATAGGCGCCATGGCCCAGCTTGTCTCGCAAAGCGTAATCGCCACAGCATGCAACAGGCAAGGCGCGGTGACCGCCGTCTGCCAAAGCGCTGTCACCTGTGCCCTTTGCAAGACCCTGCTTGCCTTTGGCAGCCCCCTGCCTGCCAAGGAAGCCGGCAGCACACAAAGCAAGATTTTGCGCGGCACGGTCAGCGGCAGCCTTGTCCTGGTAGGCCTTTTTCTCTGCACACGGCAAAGCCTTCCAAATGGAACCAAGCCTTTTGAGTTCATCGGCGTAGTCTTTGCGGCTTCCATGTCCTTTGACCAGCCGGCATTTCTCTTGCACAAAAATTGCGAATGCTTTGCGGGCCCTGGGGGCCAAGCCATCTTTGACACAAGATTTGCGCACGCCCGGCCCCAGTCTAGGAGCTGCCTTCTTTGAAGCAGGCTGCGGCTTGGATTTACCATGTATCCGGTAACGAAGCGCCATTGCCCACAACCAATGACACCCGATCCGGCATCCTTTAAGCCAGGGAAAGGCACAGTTTTGAGCAACATGGATGGACGCAAGAGCTGCTGAAAGGAAAATGAATGAAGAAAACAAAACCTCTCGATTGCATCCACGGGCTAACTGCAAAGTGTTTCGAAGACAATCGAAGCCAACCAGGCCCCTGGCCTTGCAGAAATTCCAGCTGCGCAAGACAACCACGTTTTGTGGCAGACCTTGGTCACACGTTCGCGGGAATGCCCCGGTATATTAATACAGTAACAAAAACAAACAATAACACCAAGACTTGGAACGAGCAAAGCAGAAAAATAGAAGTCTGAGACACTAGGGTGCATCAAGTGGTTTACGATGCTCGGACCCTGTGGTTGCTGAGACACCCGCAGCTCTAAATCATGATAAAACCAATATAGTAAAAAAATATATATATAGATATATATATATATACGTGAATATATTTAAAGACGTCTACATATGCAAAAACACGACAACTACAACATCGCTTCGTATCTATATCTAAATATGTAAATACATCTATATGTTTTTGTAAGTATACTCATCTATACGTGAAGATACCGACATGGATGCACAGACCAGTGCAGCAGCGTAAGCCTCTTACAAAGAGCCCACGGGGCCCACACGAACACGACCGCAAACACGATCGAAAAGCAAATTACATATGTCTGCACCGAGAACCTGCAGAATAGACATATTCCATGTGTCATTTTCTTCTGGTCCAGTTCGCTAACGCTCTTGTGGGGTAGGACACTCTTGTAGGACACTCTTGTGGGACACCCTGTGGGTCCCTCTAGTAGGAAAGTCTTGTGGGGCACTCTTACGAAACACTCTTGTGGGACACTCTTCTTGGACACTCTTGTGGGACAATCTGGTGGGACACTCTTGCAAGACACTCTTATGGGTCACCTTCTAAACCTTATTGTGGGTTGCTCTGGTAGGAAACTTTTCTGGGACCTTCTTGCGGGACACTCTTGTTGGACATTCTTCCGGGACACTCTTGTGGGACACTCTTGTAGGACACTCTTGTGGGTCACTCTTGTAGGAAACTGTTGTATAAAAAACTCTTTTGGGGCACTCTTACGGGACACTTTTGTGGGACACTCTTCTGGGGCACTCTTCAGGGACAATCTTGTGGGACACTCTTCTAGGACACTCTTGTGGTTCACTCTTACAGGAAACTCTAGTGGGACACTCTTGTGGGACACTCTTCTAGGACACTCTTGTGGGACACTCTTGTGGATCATTTTTGTGGGACACTCTTGTAGGAAAATCTGGTGGGTCACTCTGGTAGGAAACTCGTGCGCGACACTCTTGCGGGACACCCTTGTTGGAAATTCTTCTGGGACACTCTTCTAGGACACTCTTGTGGGACACCCTTATGGGACACTTTTGTGGGACACTCTTGTAGTGCCCTCTCGTGGGTCACTCTTGTAGGAAAATCTTGGGGGTCGGTCACCTGATAGGAACCTCTTGTGGGGCACTCTTACGGGACACCCTTGTTGGACATTCTTCTGGGACACTCTTGTGGGAC